ATATTAGTTCATGATGTTCAAACTGCCTTTTCTTTTCTTTGTATGTATACTAGACTATTGTTGTTTCTTTTTGTTATTGTCTTATTAATGTCTTATATTGTATTATGCTCCTTGTGAGCCCATTTAATGGAAATAAAACATCTTCTTCTATACGACACCTTCTTGAATGTATTGGTGAAAAAATCTAGAAAACAGAAAAATAATCAGACCTGCTAATTCTAGACTTCTACAAAGTTTTTGACAAGGTGTCCCATAGCCTACTCCTACATTAACGACACCATTATGGAATCAGACTTGCAAATGAATATAAAAGAAAGTTCTCACGAAAAGAACATGAGTAGTAGTGGTTCGAGTCGAAACATTCGACACAATGAAAGTAAAATCTGGAGTACCACAAGGATCAGTATTAGGACCTTGTTTATTTCTTTTTTGTTTAACAACCTATCACAAAGACCCCACTCAACAGTTTGTGGACGATATTTTATTTTTTCTCTATTCTATACTTTGTCATTATATATCATTAAGAATTAATAATAATCATTGTAATAAATTATTTGTAATTATACTGCTCTCTTAGGGCGTCCTTGATTGACAATAAAAATATTGTATTGTATTGTATATTGTATTGTAGTATATTTGACTATTAACTCGGACAAAAACTCCTAGAAGACCAGGACAAACTACAAAAATTCTATGTCATACTCGGTAGCATGAAACATCAACTAAATACTTGGTTTATATTGGTGCGAACACATATACTACATCACAGATAAAACCTCCGCATCATCTCGAAATCCATCTAAGAGAGCATGCTTATAATCGACATGTAACCAGCAGACACAGAAATAGGTCAAGTCTTAGGCAACATGAAAATGAGCAAGAATGAAAAAAAAGAGTTACAAACCAGGCGAAAAGAAGAAAGATTCATCATAGTTTACAAAAATAACAAATGACCTTGTAGTCATAGAAGAAAAAAAATAACTACAAAATCCGACAACAAGCTACAGGCGTCCAGGACATTATACGCACCTTGAACAGCCGGCTACCAATTATTGTAGGAAGTGGTCCTTCTTCGTTAACAACGTCAAGGACTGGAAAAAACTGCCGCCGCGGGATATCGCTACAGCTAAGTCACTTGAGATATTCAAGTCTCAAGTGACCAACACATCTAACTTGTAGATAGTATATGGAAGAAGAGCTGTTATAAACCCTTCAGTGTGGGACATCCCCGTGGAATTGTCTTTAGTTATATCTTTTTGTCAATTAATCCATTTGGTGCTGATTGCAGATCTTTGATAGTCTCTGTTATATTTATTTACATTTTTGTATACTTTTTCGACTTAGAGCTTAACATATCTATTTACATTTTACAAGTGTGTTTTAAGTCGATGGGTTGCTTTTCATATATATGAAATATATATACACACCCGTCTTACTAGTTGATTACATTTAACATTTGAAGACATATTATTAGGAAATTTTAAGTGACAATGGCGTAGTCGTCGTAGTCTGAAAAGTGAGAGGGTGTTCTTTCATTTTCAATTTATTTAGTCAATCATTTAACTTTTTGGCCAAATAGTGGAGGGGCAAAAACATTGTTCATCACGATGGTTATACGGTAGTTGTTTTTTTTTATGTTTGTATTTTAGGGCTTTGTGTTAGATCCCTGAATTGGTAGTGATGTAATTTATTTGGTAGAAGCTATATAATTCAGGTACACCAACTTCTTTTCTTGTTGTGTAAAAGCATCTGGATGAACTCTGCACCTTATGAAAAGGTGGGTAAATCCATAAAAGGCTGTGAACAGGACGTTTAGCACTCATAAGGATGCATACACATCATCAGTTTTCTTATTCACCGACCTGTCAAGACCACAAAAATACATCAAGTCATTTTTATGGAAGTTTGAAATAAATAATAAAAAAAAACAAACAACATATTTTTTAATCAATCAATATCCAAAGCCAACCTTCATACGGGTCCTTAAAGCATATACCAAATAGACATAAGATATACAACATAAAATAAAAGTTCATAACTTCAACATAAATACATATCAAATTTTAGCAAAGCAAATCTTTCAAAGTACACTCTGGTGAATATTTGTCTCATTGACCATCATACCACATCTCCTTGTTTTTATATAGTTAGATAATACTCATTCACCATAATAATTATAATATTTATCTTATAGAATCATCTGAATATAAAATTTATAGAAAACTCTTTTAAACAAATAAGCAAATCATTAACATTACATATAATATAAATAATTCAGGGCATAGAAAAGAGACTCCAGTTACACCAGATTTTATCAATTGCACGCCAGATACTTTGTGTGCATTATCTATGCAATATTTAAGCGAATACCTAGTGCCGAGCGTAGGTTGGTGAATTTTTCATTACTTTATAATAGAAACTATTTTTGTGATCATAAGAAAATATATAACCGGTGACGTCTGCATCATCAATATTTGTTAACCAATCATCTATAATATAAAATAAGAAAATGGGGTAAAATTGGCAATGAGACAACTATATCCATTAGAGACGAAATGACGTAGACGTTAGCAACTATAGTCACCGTGTGGCCTTCAAAAATGAGCAAAACCCATACCGCATAGCAAGCTTTAAAAGGCCCTAACCAGACAAAATGTAAAACAATTCAAACGGAAAAATCAACGGCCTGATGTACAAAACAATAAACGAATAACAGCAGCAAACGAAAACCACTGAATTACAGGCTCCAGACTTGGGACAGGCACATACATAATTAGGCAGAGTTGAACATGTTTACGGGCGCCCAACCCTCCCCTAAATGTGCATGGTAAGTGCTGTGACACATGAACGCATAGGTCTTAATCTTGACTGTGAAATTAACAGAAACCTTTCACTACTTATTTGTTTATGAATTTGTACAGCTATGTGTCCTGCAATTGTTGTTGAAAGGTAACGGGTAGAACTGCTCTATGTATATAATTATCAGGATATCATTCATTTTCAATTTAAAAAATTGGGGACGTGACATTCTTGCAGATTTAAAAATACATGGAAATTTTCAAGATCTTACGGAGAGGCAATAGATACAAAAGAAATATTCAAACTCATAAGTTGAAGACAAACTGACATCGCCATGTTAAAAATCGAAAAAAGAACAAAAGACAAACAACAGTCTACGAAACACAACAGAAAACTAAAGACTGAGCACATCGAATCCAATCAAAATCTGGGGGTCATCTCATGCAGGTGCTCTGGAAGGTCTGGAAGGATTAGCAGATCCTGCTCCTTGTGTGACACCCGTCGTGTTACTGCTATGAAATACGTTAATAAGTTAATCAAGTGATAAGGAATATCTCAATAATTGCGGATTGGTAATTTACTCTTATCTAACACTAACACATAACCAAATTCGTAAACCATCTGTTATATAAATTGTATTACCCCTTAAACATGATCTTTTAAATTTCTGAATTAAAACACGTTTTTCGGTGCAAAGGATAGACAATACTGTTGCCGGTAGAAACAACACAGATATCAAAAGATAAAAAAAGCACTAAGTACAAAACTGAAAACCAAAACAAGAGCAAACACGGACCCTTTTTAAACTGAGGTTAGAAATATATGCCAAAGAAGGTACTTATACATCACAGCACATGCTTACATCATCAAGTTGCTTTAGTTTTATCAAGTATTTTTAACTTGTCAACAGACATTTTGTATTATTGCTACTGTATTTTGATTGTACAAAACTTCCAAGTATTGTATAATATATTATGAAGTTCATTTTCGGCAATGGCTATATATATCCCAATAGCACGAGTTCGAATCCCGGCGAGGGAAGAACAAAAATTTGCTTCCGCAAATTTGCAGATTTAACATTGTTGTGCTGATATTTAGAGTAATTGTGTATATATATATATAAATATATGCATATAGATATAGTGTTTATTAAAAGCATTTCCCTTATCGTAATTGTTCACAACAACAGTATTTATGTTATGAAATCCTGGCGAAGTTTTGATTCAGATGTTTTATATACTTCAAGATATACTTATAAAGCCCCAAAAATGTTTAAAAAATCATGTTATTCACGATAAAATATAATTTTTTAGTATAAAAATCGTCAAAAAATGTTAGCCTCGCTTCGCTTTATATCCAATTATCGGGAATTACGTCCCCCTTTCAGAAATCCTGGATAAGAACCTATCTACATGGTAGTCTACACCCTCTAGACGGCGCTTAAACGAATATTTTTCTTATATTTGTCGAAATACACAAAATTCTAAATTATTGATTTATTTCATTCGCTTAAATTATTATTATTTATTTCATCTATTTAAATCACTTAATTTAGTGTGATGAATTTCATTTATTGAATTTAATATAGAGGAAACGGTTTTTGTTTACTAATTTATTTGTTTACATTTACAAAACATTTTTTCTATTTCCTTCAAACTTACTTCTTTTTAGCTTTTTAATATAAATAACTCCTAGCTACCAAAATCACGTATTTATTTGGTGTATCAATAATATATCCAAAGCTGATTAAGCATGCCAAATGTGAAATTTGTGTATTGCCAAATGTTTTGACAATTTAAATGTCAGTTTGACAGTTCAACACGTGGAATTGGGGGGCGTGGCTCTGACATTGTTATGTGTAATCGGATATCTTAAGAAATAGATAGATTCGTGCTTTCTTTCGTTACTTTTCTTGTACTTAAAATAGACATAACGGTATATTTTATAAAATACAAGTGAAATAATTGTAATTCATATAAAAATAAGCAATATTTTTCTAGTTGTTCCGCTTGACCAAATCTCGTGACATTGACTGTATACAAAACGTTACCCCACGAGAACTGAACGAAGTGGAAAATGGCGATGAATTACGACGGCATGAATGGCACTGACATGGACACTTCCGACTCAAGAAAAAGGCCATTGGACACAGAAATAGATAATGGGGTACCTAAAAGATCAAACCAAGGTGCAGGTCAGCATTTTTACATGATTATTTAATATTAACAGCAAAATTGCGCAGACGATCGGGATCAATATGGCTGCAAATTGACAGCCGGTAGGAAATTGACTAGCCTTGAAATTTTTCGAGAGGTGTCTTATTTCTTAGTTGTTTCTTACATTTTATGCCTCAGAAATTAAATTTAATGATTCAACTGTTTATTTGTGGAATTTGCAATTGTTTGAAGGATTAACTCGCCTCGTATCGGCGATGTATTCACATGACAAGCTGGCATACATCGATTTCAAGTGGAGGCATGCATGTATAAACATGTGTTGAAAGCCACCAATCCGGGCATTCGTTCTCGCTAACCGGCTCTGGCACACACAAACAGACCCTTGTGCGACTAGAGACGGGATAGGTCTAAACAACTTTGGTCAACAACGGAGAGAGTGGTCGACTTTCATCACAGAACACGTCAACTTCTTGGAACAGGCCTCTTTCGTCTGACACAGTTGTAGAATGACCCTTCTTGACCTTCATCGGTCTCCTGGTCTTAATAATTTGGACGAGCCAATGACTGAAACCCAAGATTACATGAGTTTTAACGTCTGGAGAGGTATTTCAATTTACGGTTTAACCTTTCATGCTTTTATTTTTTCATTTTCACTTCCGAACACCTTAAACTCAGCGTTGAAAATTTACCGTTGCTATTGGGAATGGAGGAAAATGAATACGTGTCATAAAGTCCTTTTTATTTAATTCATAACATCATTTTTAATTAATTATTGTGTATTGATGTATTAATGAATTATTTTTAGGTACTTTAACTTATTTTGAAGCCTAATATGGTTGTAATTAAGGATTGTTAGAACTGCTGAGACAAGCATATGTTGATAAGTTTACATGTGTTTATCTGTGTGTCCATGGGTGTTTTAAACCATGGTCCTAACTTAACCAGGGGAAATATTTTCTTTAAAAGGAATTTTAATCATCACCCATAAACATTCATGGTATTATTTTCATCCTGTCAAACTTCAAATATTTTCATTAACACACTCAACTTCCAACAAACATGTCCCAATCAGTGAAGTGTAACGAATGTCAGTGTAAAGTGTTGGGTTACCAAGCTCTAATGTCCCCTGAGGTAACTACCCATAGATATAGTTTCTACATATCATCATTATTAACATAGATAATTAGATGATAGATAAAGATGGGAGGGCTTTACTTACATCTATATCTATCTGGTATGTGTGGTTATTATTCATTACACATCTGTCAGCTGCTTTAGATAGCTTGAAGGATATTGTTGTGTGTAGATGATGCATCCATTCAGTTCAGAGTTCATTCTTTCTGGTCAAATAGGGGAGATGTCTTCTTTTCCTGAACCATATGCATATTGTAAGTAATAAAGGCTATTACATTTTGTAAAATGTATTGATTAGTTATAATGTGTATCATAATGTAGCAATTTTATTTCAATGTCATATATTACATTTTCTTTGATGGTTCTGGGAATACCAGTTCTGATCATCTTTGATGTATCATAAAGGATTCTTGAGAACTTTTTTTGTTGTTGATTGCCATTATGTAATCTTTAAATGAATTGATGAATAGGGACTTACAACTATCATGCAATGTCCTAATAAGTAGGTGGAATTAACTTAACCAGTTGTTTTACCTTTAAACTGAAATAACATGTCAAAATCAGGCAACCCTTAAAAAAAATTATTTGTTTGATGTTGTTAACCCATGCCTCATAGGGTTGGGTAGGTAGGGATTTTATTTTTTTGTTTTGGCCAACAACATAAAAACATGTTTTAGATTAGAAAAAGATGTTAGAGCAGGAATTTTTTTTTCTAAATTTGAAATGATTTGTGTCATAATTTTTTTTTTTGGATAGGCTGTTTTTTAGATGGGTAGGTAGGCAACATCAAACAATTTAAATTTTATTTTGGCCTCTAGCTATAGACTTTAGTGAAAGTTTCTTTATCATATCTGTATTATTAAAAAGAGAGTGTTATTTCCTCAGCAGTTGCATATGCATAAATTAGTACATGAACATCTTAATTTTAAAGAGATTTAATATTAAGCACCAAGACTAAGCCAGTCTTCACGACAAACTTTTGAATCTACAGGCCCAAAACTGAATTTTACAAAAATTTTAGTTAGATTCTATTGGCCTGTAGAGGTGATTTTTACAGGCCCGACATACATTTTACAAGCCTGGGCTGGTGGGCCTGTGGTTGAGCATGAAGACTACCAAGTCCCTCATTCATGGTCCTATACTTTAAAATTTTTGCATAGTTTCCATGTTAAACTTTCTGACTACAGGGTGTAACAGAATCAGTTATTATAAGTCAATTATATTTGGCACACAAATGGAGATGCATTCGAATGGGTGGATCTTATTTCCATGGAGATTATTTTGCCTTATTTTAAATTTTAAAGTTTGTGATTGGATCAGCTTTATGAAGAAACACTCTAGATGGATCACTGATATTTGGAATTCATTTAACATTAGTGGATTTCATATCCCCCTCAGTCTGGTCTTTGTCCATGTACTTCATTTTTTATTGGTATGATTTGAAAGGCTTATGATCATATAAGTCCTCAATATTTATAATTCTGTTTTGTTGGTAGTTTTTATTTCCATGAAGATTAAGTCCAATAGGTACAAATGTAATCATGTTAATGAACCCTTCAAAAGTCTAAATTATATCAGTACCTCCTGAATTAAGATTTTTTTTATGAAAGGTATTCATAGAATACACAGAAAGGTACCTCCTATAAATTGGTAATGGTACCCAACCCAATGATTACCTGCTTTGACTTTTTCTTATATATTTTTGTTGAAAACAGTCAAGACATCTAATATTATACATCTCTGTATAAAGAGTTTATAATAATGTAAGATAAAGTGGATGCATGTATATGTATGATGTAAAATGATTAAACCCCGTTAAGCATAAGGTCTCCACCAAGTTGCCTTAGGAATAAACTTGTAACTTTTAAAATAAGTCAATTGTACAGGTACCTACAATGTATCCAATAATAGTAAAGTAATGTGTGTTTTATAGGGTGCAAGAGAAACAAATGTGGCATAATGTTCCACAACCACCAATAATTGTGGAAAGTGGCACAATCTATTTTTTTTTAAAGATTAAAACAAGTTCATTTATCAAATTCATGTAATCAGAAGTCTTTTTTTCTGAGGAATGTTTTAAATGACGCAGTTTCTTGCCTTCCAAAATAAATCAGAAATACACGCTTTATATATTACATTGTACATGTACACATTAGGTTGTGTGGGTGTTCCTCGATATAAACATTGGTAACACCACAGATGAATTCTTGCAAAATAGTTTCACAGTTGGGTATTGTTGTACTTAAGTGCTTTGTTAAATTCTTAATTAAGCAGTAGATATTTGCAATTATCTTTTCTGCATTCAACATTGATTTACAAAAGTGTATATTCTGAAGTTTAAATGAATACATGTATTAGGTAGACCCCCCCATAAAATGAAAACATTTTACAAATTGTTTTTGTTTTAAGTCTAATCAATCTGGATTGATGAACATGTATGTCTCTTTATATGTGTTTTTTTTTATAAACGTTCTTAGAAAAACGTTTTACAAATTTAGTAAATTACTTAAACATTTCTATGTAACATATTGATATTCTACATGTACTCATAGATTTACTTTTACTTTTAAACATATGTTTTTAATAAAATTATTTTATTATTGGACATAAATCTTATTGAAATAGTTACATATTCACAGATTTTGTACCATCAGTTTAGACATTTCAATAAAAAATAATCTGGTTTCATTGGTAATGTGTTTATGATAAAGAGTTTAATTTTTTTAAACATTGCATAGATATTATTTTGATTTCTGAAATTGTTCATTCACAAGACAGTTCATGTGATTCAAGGATATACATTTGAACAAGTGTAAATGAATTAATGTTTTTATAAAGAGTACATTTGTAAACCATACCACTTGTCACATGCTGCATGTACATCACATGTTAATTTAGTCTACTTTAAATGTACATGATATATATATTTTAAAATATTTATTTCTCAATTGAAATTTTTACAGAAATCTTAACCTACAATAGGAAATAGATTTATTAAATAATACTTAACATGCTTAATGTTTAAAGTATTTCATCTTTTGAAAGTTTCAACATGTGGCAGTTTGAAATGTTTATTAAAAAAGGAAATTTCTAATAGGAATAATTCAAGTGTGGAGATCTATACATTGTATGTGCGATTCTGTTGACTTTTTGCTAAAAGAACAAAAAGGGGAAAAATAGATGGTAAAGTTTTAGATATTGAATATATCTGGTATACAGGTTGATCTTTCAACCTGTCCTTTATCTTTTGATAAGTTGATATGTTACAGGGTACAGAAGCATAAATATTTATATGAAATAATCTTGTTCATGTAAAAATAGTTTGAAAATTTTATTAAAAAATTATGATTGATTGATTTTCTGAAGCTTTCTCACTTAAAACTTATTCACCATAAATACGTAGATGTCATTTAACGAAATTGAATATCCTGCATTTATCATGCTTTACCCTATAATAAGACAAATTGCTGAAAGTTCCCCATCTAAATGATTAAAAACTTGGTGTAAACTAGATACACCCAACCAGGGTACCACCCTCATGGGTGTACAATGTAACTAATACATACAATATCCAAATTTGTATATATGGTTGACACATTAAAGGAATGTACTTTTGTTCATTCAGTGTCAGTGTGAATTGTATCAGCAAAATAGCACGCATTTGGTGATCTTTGGTAGCCAGAGATAAACAAATTTACATATATAATAGCTTTAAAAGACAAGTTATACAAGTTAGGGTACTGTTTTATTTATTTAATTTTCATGTAGATTTAAAAAGAGAGAATAGTTTGTGCATTATATTTTATTATTATTTATGAGCTAGCAGGTCTGAATATTTTGAACATGAAGCCCATCTTATATTAAAATTTTTGGGGTCAGTGTTGAAATTAAAAATATTTCCATTTAGGATTTTCTCCAGTGACCAGGAAATCATGAAATTAACTTTGCAAGTTAAATGATCTTTACCATGTTGAACAGTTCATTGTGTAGACTAGGTGAATAAAAAGTAACAGTAAATATATATTGACATATATATTACATGATGGCGGCATTGATGCTGCATTTTATAAACTGTAAACAAAATATTAAAAACTGAAATGAGATAGTCTTTCAAACTCAATGAATCATTTGTTGTCTGATTGTTGAACTTCAGACTATAAACTTTAAATTAAAAAAAAAAAATGTGTCAGATATATATTTATTTTGGATATTAATACTGATGTTATTTATTTCGTAGTAGAACGCAATACATAGGGATGCTAATCTAGTGGCGGCACTGTTAACTATTTGTATAGAGATAAATGTGGTATATATGATCCTTGTAAGGTCTTGATGTCTGTTCAATGATCAAGGTTAGATTTTTGTGGTCAATTTCATACCTCAGATTCTATAGGCAATAGGTCAACTATATTTGGGATATGGAATAATTGTAAAGTATTCATTTGTACATGTATGTCTGGCAGATTTTGTCTGACCTTGACCCTGGTTCATTGGTCAATGTTAAGTTTTCCTGGTTATGTCCTTTCAGAATAGAGAGATACTATAAGTGATAGGTGAACTATATTTGGCGTATGGAATGATTGTTAGGTGACCATGTCTGTCTGGCAGGGTTTATCTGACCTTGACCTAATTTTTATGGTTCTAGGTCAATGTTTAGTTTTTGGGGTTAGGTTTTTTTCTCAGATACAAAAAGCAATATATACATGATGTATGTCAACGATATTTGGTTTATATAAATGGATTCTATAGAATGATTATAAGTTTACATGTCTAGCAAGTTACATTTGACATTGATTTCATTTTGATGTATCATTGGTTAGTTTCACTTCTCTTCTAAGTTTTTGTTGACCAGATACATGTACTTAAGCAGTAAGTCAATTTTATTTGGTGTATGGAATGATTGTAAGGTGTACATGTCCTTTTAACAGGGTTCATCTGACCTTGACCTCATTTTGTTGGTTCATAATCATTGGTTATGTTAAGTTTTTGTGGTTTGGTTTGTTTCTCAGAAATTGTTTTTATAAAATAGAGTAATTACTTTGAATAATCAGTGGTATTGATTTGATTTGAATAGATCTTATCATCTACCTATTGTTTACTTTGAATAGTAAATTGTATCAAATGCTATATAAGTTTATTACAAATGTAGCACAATACAAAAAGAGGTTCTGTAAATATAAGTACCAGAAATGTTGACAGGATTATCATTTAAAGTAGGAATGTCAATCAAATTAATAACAATAGATTGTTATCTAATGTTCCTGCAAGAGAGTTGAATGACTGACTTCATTTAGATTTCAATTTTTTTAAAATGTACTTATTTCAAAATATGGGTTAAAAATTAAATAATTTTATCAAGGTTATAAAGGGAAAAACAATCTCTTAATGTCTATAATTGTTTACATCATACCACATCTCTTTTTTTTTATATATTTACCTTAAATTTTTGCCTATACAATGTACATGCAATTGTATTACAATTATAAGAAGATGCACATTAATAAATGCACACATTAATTCTAAACTTACAGTATGTACATGTGTAATAATGGTTCTCCATGTTTAATATTTTCAGACCATGTTAGCTTTATTGGGGCTTTATTTGTTCACTGCCATTTGATTTATTTTATAGTTTTGAACTTTAATTTAAGGTTAACTCCTCCTTCATATACTCACATCATTAATCATTATCCTATCATCATCAACCTTCACTCGTTGTAGGCACCCCAGAACAGATGCAGCACATGATGACCGAAGAATCAAACGGTGACGCAATCATGGGTATATATTGTCATTTAATGCTTTTCTCCACAAAAATGATGGCTGAATAGTACTAAAGAAAAATAAAAAAATTGTTTCCCACTATACAGTTATAAGTGTAAATGGTTGGTTATAATTGTACAAACATTGGCTACATTGTGTAAAAGGTTGTAAATAAATGTGTAGCCTGTATTATAAAAGAATATTAGTTTATAGTTAAATTTTGAAGATCTTTCTTGGCCAACTGTAAGAATATAAATTATTTCTTCTTATTCATGTTTTAAGATCAAGATATATTCTTGTAACCATCAACAACTGCTAGGACTGCAGGACTGGCGATTTTGAAGAAATTTGTAGGAAAATATCTATCACAAAATAGCATCTGCTTTGAAACATGTTTGTGAACTAAGCCACTAATTAGTATTCCAAATTTCCAATAGGCATGGCATTTTTCTTAGGGTCAAATATTGAAATTCTGAAACATTCGGCACAGATCACCGTAGTGTTAATAACAAAAATTAGTTTTTAGATCTTATCTCAAATGAGGTAAGAGGAGTTTGAGGACAAGAAGTTTTTTGCTTTTTGAACCCCTGAGGGTCATGCCTCAAGGGATCCAATGAAAAGTTAACCATTGGTCAATTTGGCAGATTTATTACAACTTGTGATTCAAGTTTCAACATTCTTTAAAAAAAAAATTTCATTGATTTAATTGTTATCACAAAATTTGTTTTCACAAATGATACTGCCCTTAGGTTTTATACAATAAAATCTATGGCACAATCTACATTTTTATTTTTAAAAGTACTAATGTCAACCAAACTCTGGGTAAATTATACAATTACAGTTATTTTTGAAAATTGTGTAAAGGGTAAATTTTGTCCAAACTTAGTGTCAATTATGGTTTCAATTAGGCCAAAATAAAGGTATGTGTTTAGGGTTTCCTGACCAAATTTTTTTATGAAAATTTCTTTCAAAAACTTTTCACCAGCAAATCAGTGTAACCGCTAACTTTAAAATAGAAAAACCAAACTGATAGAAATGGTATTGTTCATTATAATCCTCAATTGTAATTATGGTTAATGATCCCAGCAACTGTCAAAGGTTGTCTTCACATATAAAAGAATGTAATAAAATATTTCAGTTCAAAATTTAATAAAAATTTGGAATTGCAACCTAACATTCAATGAAAAGATAAATTTGTGATTCACATTTAGCAAAATGTTTAGGTAACCCCAACTTCTGTCAAACATGGCTGCTACCATGGCTGATGTGAATTGTTTTTTAGTATTGAATCATAGGTATGTGTAGAACCCAGATGAACAGTACAGTTTCCTTGGAGCCTCATGTTTGATATTTGAATGAATAGAAAATCATTATAATGTTAAATCTGTTTTTAAGAGATTATTTACAAGACAGGCCATCACAAAAATGGCTTTTCCAGGCTTCATACATGAAGCTTTAAGATCAAGTAATTATAATTACCAGTTGTCTGCCAAAGTCTTTTGAAAGCCAAGCTACAGCAATATATATTTGAGTGTACTGTATTCAAGAACATTCTTATAAAAATCTTCATGAAGTTTGCAACCAGATTTAGAAATGACATGTCTGGAGGTTTATTATCTTTAAAATACAGATTTTTGCATCCTCAGCATATTTTTACATTTCTTAGAATTTATATACTTAAAACTTCAATGCATGTCTAGTTGAAAAAAATAAATGATTGCATTGTAAAACCATGATGAATGTATTCTAACGAGTGGTTTCAGGTGCTTTTGAAAGTTCGAATTCTTTGTAAAAAGTTAAAATTAGAGCACCTGATGAGTATAAATTCTGTTAAAGACACTCCTGGTTACTGTAAAGAATTTGTTTTCATTGTATTCATGTACTGAGTACTTATACAATTCCATTACTTAAAAGACGTTCATGGTAGAAAAAGTCATTTCTGTCATTGTTCAGGTATTTGTCAAGCTTTGCCAGTAGACCTATAAGAATCACCTTGATGAGGTTATTTAGAAATATTTAACTGTCCCCATAAGATTTAATTATAAAAAACTTGAAAAAGTGTAAGGCACAGGCAAAGAGATAAGATCTGAGTAATCATTGAGTTCTGCTTTGGAGATTGGCAACAGCCCAAAAACAATTGTTGGCTTCATTTAAATTTGGTTCTTTGCTGGACAATAGATCCAATAAAATTCAGAGACCTTTCTTATTACATTTCTGGAAGTCCATTGAACAAACTCTTTAGTTCATTATAGTCAGAATATTTATTTATAAACATGATCTATCAGATTTACAAAAAAAAGAACAACACTTTAGGAAGATCTTAAATTTAATAAAAAAAAACGTGCTGTTTTTTAAATAGTGGTGATATATACATGTACTAGTAAAACATGCCAATATTAACCTTCAAACACTTAAATTAATTATTTATGGACTTATTTGTTGTGAGAATAAACAAAATGAAACTATTTTACATATATAGGCTTAAGTAGAATAAGTACATACTCATTTTATTTTTTTGACATGGAGTGGTCCTTCAATTTATTATACCATTGAGTCTCCATCAATATATGTGAGGTCATGCATTAATACCATAGATGCAATGTTTGTAATATGCAAGTCAATGTTTGAAGACAATGAAAGAATTTTGTCAAAATGATGGCAACATAATTACTAAATTACAAATTTCGTTTGTAGGATGGTGCTCAGTGTTTCAATTTACTATACAAGTAAAAAGAATTTACATACATGGTTAAGGAATTTTGGACAAACAACAAAAACTTGATGGTTTACATTCCTACGTAGTGTTAAATAGACAATGTTTATAAACCAAAGTACAATTCAGCCATCACTTTTGTATGCTGTCTCCATCACATTGTTTAGTGTAGTGGTTTAGTGTAACATTGTTATGTTTTGGTGTGATATTTATATAATATACTACACAAAATCTCATTAATAGTCAAAATAATATGTATATATGATTGACATACTCATTTTTGTCACCTACATTTGTAGCTTGTAAAACAAAGAAGAGTAAATGAAGACTGACTTATGTTTTTTTTCTTCTCATTTTGGCCCATTGTTTATAGCTACAACTATTTAATTATATTTGATGACAAAATAAATATACCAGTATATATATATATATCCAGTATATATATATATATATATATATATATATATATATATATAGGTTTACAGAATTTTGGATTTTGACAGATTTCTCACATCGGTCCTAATTTGATTTATAAAAAGCTTGATTACACCTGTATATTGCAGAAATCACTTTGGTAGTGGCCACAAAACATGGACCATTATGGTAATCTTTAACTTAAATTGTTAGGAATAAACCCACTTCAAAAGAATGGACCAAATGTTCATACATAATTCAAGTTATGGTCATAGATTACTTACATATTAATGAAATTGAAAGAAATTTATTAATTTGGTCAAGAACTCTAAAAAATTATTGTGTGGCTTTATTTTGCAATCAAATTTGGTCTAAATAGCTGAACAAAGAATCATATATCTTGAGTTTGCATGATGACCTCTTTACCATAAGGTTTGCATGGTGCACTCATTAATTAGTATGTGACCATATCGATTGATAAACATTTACACATGAGTTTAAGTTACTGATGGCCATTTCATTTTAGTCTTAAAATTGTTCATCGTCTTACACCAAAGAACCAATGTAGTGTTCTTAGTTGCTGTATACTACAGTTGATGAAAGACAAAAAGTGACTGAAAGCAGCACTTGAAAATCATTTTGATTTGTGACTTTTTTCCTCAGGTGAATTCTTTCTTAAATTACAAGATAGATACACCCATTGTCCTACCTGTATTCATTAAAGAGACAGGCACTTGTCTCTGAAATTTTTTTCCCCTATATACCTTAATATAACACAAGGTACTTAGCTTTAAAAAAGTGGGGGTATACTGTTTTACCTCTCTGTCTGTCTGTCCGTCTGTCCGTCCCATGAATATTTTTCGTCGCATCTTTCTCAGGAACTACATCATAAGGATTTCTGAAATTTGGTTTCAGGGTTTATATAAGTCAGTTATACCTTGTGATGCGTTTTCAGATTCATCACTCAACAACTTCCTGTTTACCGAACACTTACATATTTTTACACTATCAAAATTATCCAGTTGCGGCGGGGGTATCATCAGTGAGCATTAGCTTGCAGTTTCACTTGTTTGACATGATAAATTTGTAAACCTTTATGAATTGTTAGGAAACTTGGACAGAAGCTTATCTTCAAGACCATGAAATAGCATCTAAAGAAAAGTTTGAATTTTGTTTTAAATTCTGTATTTGACTGATAAATGGAGTCACTTTTTAAGTCAACATTACCCTTTTACACTTACAGCAGCAATTGCAGGCAAGACACAGGGTTCTTCGGAATCCCTTACAAATTTTTCTAAATAAAATTCCGCAAGAATATTTTTCATTTTTCTGTAGTTTTTCATTGAACTTCATTGAACAGTTTTCTAACACTTAAAACATTTGATATGGCATGTTAGACTTTGGCAAATCTCATTATTTCTTTCTCAAAGTCTAGAAATCATCAGCAAAAAACATATGAAATACTATGCCTTACGATTCATTAACAGTTGTAAAAGCTGGTGCGACACAAGGTTCTGTGGCCCCCTCAGGAATTTTATTGTTCACACGTAGAATATTAAATTCAGTTAGATATATGTAAATTATAAAGGTCACCACGAATATATACTTCTGTTTTTGAAGTTCATACAAATATAAACACAATCTACATGATGTAGTATTTCATTTCCTATTAGATCTTATTGATCAGACAAGAACATTGAAGGACATACATTTGTATTCTATAAGCAGCTCTCTCTAGAGACAGGAGGATCATGTTGTTCACTATTTTACATGTTATTCTTGTCTTTAAAGAAAGAATGCAACTGCACAGATTGTGTAATATACACAACATCAAGCAAAAGATTACATGTAAACATGAAAAATTACCCAGCAGAAGGTCAAATGGATAAAG